TAGCCTCCATATGAGGTACCACCAAATCCAACTAAAACACGAGGCCTCTTGTCCTCCCGCTACTCTCTCTCAAGCTTGCTAACATGCTCCAACCGTTTAGCAATCCCGACCACCTAGTCAAATCTAACATACATCTCAAACACTCAAGTCATACCATACCGAATGACTTAGTTGAGGCCAACAATGAACCTTCTAATTCTCTTCCTCTCAGTATAACCAAAAATACCGCATAACACACCAACTTTGTAAATTTCATCTCGTACTTGTCATGCCCCAAACCTAGGGAGGCATCGCTGGCACTCGGTGTTGTACTGGCCCGAGCGAACCACTCTGTAACTCATTTTTTTTCTTCTGCAACTATCAGGGGCCAATATGGCCAGAACTCGTAATGTATAACTATAAGTGGGAAAACACTGTATCAATGAACCATTTCTTAAAACCTGAATACATATAGGCCATCAAGGCCTCTAACATACTGTACAAAATGAACCTCTGTCTACAAAGTATCTAAGATCATTTGACATCAAATGGGACAGGGTACCGGCCTACCCATAAGTCGGTAGCCAAACTCTGACACGATGGCTTATAGACTCGATTTCACTCCAAATGAGGTTGAATCTTACCGATCCTTCGCTGAATGCCAACCTCATCTACTATGAGGGCTCATCAATCTGATTATCTATACCTGCAAGCATGAATGCAGCGTCCCCAATAAAAGGACGCTAGTACGAATAATGTATTGAGTATGTAAGGCAGAACTGAAACATAATAATAAGTCAACATTAATTAAAGACATATAAGAATCAACCTGAATCTCTGAATTGCCATCGTATATGCATACTTATTATACTTACATATATATAATGCTTCTCTTTGAGACTATTATCCATATCATATGATGTATGACTGCCCAACCGGTGGTAAATAATGATACACAACTGTCCAACCGATGGTAACTGCCCGACCGGTCGTAGCTCAATGGTAAATGCATGACTGCCCAACCGGTTGTAGCTCGATGGTAAGTGAATGACTGCCAAACCGGTCGTAGCTTGGTGGTAAATGCGAAGATGCAAGTATCACTATATTATAAACATTAACATCTCTATCATATACCTTATTAGGGACTAGATACATACTTAGACATGCTTGAATATCATTTTACATGAATGAATAACGTAGACCTTCTTAGTTACTAAGAGTAGAACCATTTATGAAATAACATTACGTTTACGTATCGTTACTTAAATCATGTCAAAAGAAGGAAAGATTAGCCTTAACATACCTGAGTCGGTTCTGACAATCCCTCTAACACACATCTTTTACAAAAAACACGTATCGCCGGATCAAAGTAGAGGAAAATCCTTACAACCTTGCAGTCATTCCAAACGCTTCCCTAATATCATGATATGAATTCCTATTTTTAAGAACTCATCCGTTGCTTTGTAGCTTCACAAGGTCATAAGACTTTTTCAATTTGTGAATTAAAAGAAGCCTTCTCAATAGAACCTTTTAACCAAAATAAGATAATGCGAACATACCTTAAATATTGCCACCACCTCCTTAAGCATAAGGATTGGTGGCAATTTGCTGCCATAATCCCATAGCTCCATGTAAATTATTGTCCCCTTAGTAATTATCCAAGATCCCACTTAAATAATTATCCAAAAAATTTTAATTAATCAATTATCCACATAATTAAGAATTATCTCAACTTACCTAAAATACTACTCACTTTTAATACACTTTATATAACTTACTATCATGGTCATGTAGTATCATATAAAATTAATATACACACTATTATTTCATTAAAATATCCATGTAAAAATGCATATATTTTCTCAACTTCTAATTTTCCTAATCTCATATAAAGAGTACAAATTTTTGTACACTTAATTCTTAAAATGGTAAAAAGATAACCATTTTTTCTTGTGAGAAAAAATAATTTCTACCTTTACAATAAAAAAATCTCATACACTTTCTCATATTATGTGTATAATTTAAAGCATATTCGAAAATAATAATATTAATAATTATATGAAATCATATTTTTTAAACTTTTTTTTTTACAAAAATTATTCCACTCAAAAGACCATATCAAATGTATACAACAGTATCAAGGCTGTTAAACTTACATGGTCATACAATAACATAGTCACAAATCCTCTATAATCTCATGAATGATCTTAATCCCTTCAAGCTCATATGGATTACTACGACTCATCCTAATATTAAGATATGGGATGTAACAGTACTGGGTCACAGTCATTCCCTCTTGGCGTAGATGCTCAAACTCTGTACGCAACTTCTCTCTGCGAGTCTATGGGACGAACTTCTTTAATAAGAGAATTGATAACTGATGCCATGTACGTGTTGCTATGCTAGCCGATATTGGTCTACCACCACCTATAGGATGTCCTTGTAAGTTGAAAAGTAATGAAGCCGACTCCATTGGAGTCCATAAAACTCGTTGTGCGAAGAATCTGATGACACTGACCGAGAAAACCATGAGCATGCTCTGACTATCCTCCACTAAACTGGGGAGGATGAAGACTTTGAAATCTCTCTAACCTCTTCTGCTCCTCATTCATTAGTCAAAGATGGTCCAGCATCAGCCCGAGCAGCAACAACTAGCTAAACTGGCCAAACCCCTAGTGTCTGATAACCTTGAGCTAGCTGCTTTGGTGTACGGGTGATAGAAGTCTAGGCTCCTCCCCTAGTCTGAGAGGTAGCTGGTGGAACAGATATTATACCCTCTTGAGCCAAGCTCGTGTACACACTTAAGATCTGTGCAAAAGTCTCCTAAAGACCAGGCATAGCAACAAGTACCGCTGGTGTCTAAGCTGGTCCCATCAGTACCGCCGGTGTCTCCTAAAGTAGAGTTTTGCTCATGACCTGTAAACTTTCGACAGGTCTGCTGGAAATGCATCTGAAAATTCCCTTACCATTAGGATTGACTTGCCAGTAGGCGTATCAGCACAAACATCTCTCACGAAAGACAAATACGCCAAACACCTATTCTCAACCATCTATTAAGCCTTCAAATATGAAATTACTCTAATGGGAGCGTGCCAAAAAGAACATCTCCACTCCAACCTAGGAAAACCCAGAATCGCCAACGTCAAGGTCTTAGCGTGACAATCAAGAATAGCATGGTATGGAGATAGTCAATCCATACCTAAAATCACCTCAAAGTTACTATGCTAAGAAACAAAAGATCAAGTCTAGTCTCATAGCCCCCAATGGTAACCACACAAGACTGATATATATGATCCCCCAATGAAATCACCCACCAATGTATGTACATGAACAGAAATATCAAGGGAATCGCAAGGCATATCCAGATAATGAACAAAATATTATGAAACATAAGAACAAGTGGAACCATGGTCAAATAACACTAAAGCATCCCTGTGGCAGACTAAAACAATACTCGTGATCACGGCATCGAAAGCAACTACCTCTGTCCAGGCAGAAAATGCATAATAATCGGCATGTCAACCATTTGACTGACCTCTCCCTCTAAGGCGACCTCGAATCGATGAGCCCTAACCTAGCTGGTTTTGTGGGTGGTGTAGCTACTGGTGCTGGAACCATAGGTTGTGTGCTTCTCTGGTGCACTACTCAAAAGTCTAGGGCAATCTTTCTTGAGATGACTTAAGTCTCCACACTAGAGACAACCCCTCCTCTAACGAGGTTGATGACCCTACGACTAACCTTGATAAATTGAATAACTGCCTATGAAACCCTGAGTAGATGAAGCACCGTAAGAACTCTGTGCCGGAAGTGCACTGAATGATGACTGAACTGTATGAGCTATTGATAATTGATGAACTACGGGATCTAACGTGTTGCCTGATCGGTCCTAAAATGACGACCTCTTCTGTGATATGACTTGCCTTCAGATGAGGTACCACCAAAACCACCTGAACCACGAGGCCTCTTGGCCTCCTGCTACTCTCTCTCAAGCATGCAAACATGCTCCAACCGTCTAGCTATCTCGACCATCTGGTCAAATCAACCATCTGTCTCAGACTCTTGGGCCATACCATACCGAAGGATATAGTTGAGGCCATCAATGAACCTCTTGATCCTCTCCCTTGTCACACCTCTTTTTTCCCGAGGGGATAGGGAGTTTTTTCAATTTAATTGACGTTAATCGAAATGGGATTATTTATTAGATTCAGAGTCATCACTTGGAATAGTTTATGGTGCCCCAAGTCACCAATTTATTTTAAATTCCAAATCGAGGAAATTTGACTCCGTCTAAAGTCTGTGAAAACCAGAAGACCGGGTAAGGAATTCCGTTAACCCAGAAGAAGGTGTTAGGCATCCCGGGTTCCGTGGTTTTAGCACGGTCGCTTTAATCATACTGGCTTAATTAATCGTTCAATTACGTATTTTTGAACCTATGTGCATTTTACATTTTGACCGCTTTTAATTATGGATTTATCTTGGAAACGGATCACATGCGTGTAAACCCGTTTATTTGGGGTGTTAAAATCATTTCACGCGAACATGTACACAATTAATCACGCTTTATTAATATTAGATTGTTTGGCCAAAGTTGTGCGAACGCATACCTCGAATTATTTTGGGAATCATAATCATGTCACGTGAACGTGTACACAATTGCGACAATCGATTAAGTGCGCGCCTAAAACATTGCTACGAATATATATCTTTGAAATCGTAATCATGCCACGCGAACGTGTACATAGTCACGATGATTTGATTAGTTGGAAAAAAATGCGTCTAAAACCATACTAATGTCTGATTTCATAGAATGTCAAGTTATAAGAGGGTATTTCAAGCCAAGGACATTAAAGTGTGAAGGCTAATGCGGTTAAATGGCTTCAAAAATGAATGAGCTTAATCCTAACATTTCATCTTTCAGCTGAAATAATGGGAAATACAACGCTTGGAGTTTGTTTGAGCAAACAAGTCACTCTTCCTTGTCTTTACCAAAGTTAATGATTTTCAATACAGGGTAATAGATGTCATCAAATTCCCACAGTAGTATGGTTAAAGTCCAGATGGGTTTTCCAGGTTTGTTTACAAGACAATCTATCGGAATAAATGGACTTGAGTTAGGCTTGCTTATGAAGCCTGGACCCAGCAAGCTAAGCCTTAAGAAACTATCAGATGAGCTCATTATTATTGCTCAAATTCAATTTAATAGAACTCTACTGATTTGGGCTTGAAGATTTACCAAGCCCAATGCAGAATTCTAATTTAGAAACAAATTTCCATAGAATTATCACTCTATAACTACAGATTCAGATGGGCCTGTATTTAACTACAACAGGCTTAAAATAATACAACAGAATCAACTATTATACTAAATTAGCTTATCATACAAATAAGGTATAGAAGTCAAATCATACAACTCGTTAACTAACTCCAGTCCAACAGGTTTAATTCCATTTGTAAATAGCAAGACTTATCTGTATATTACTGCTCTTAATATCTCTCTTCAAACACTATCCAGTTCTCATCTCATTCCTGAAGTTTAAAACAAACAAATAGGCCCTGCATAACATTATTTTCAATATGAAACAGTCACATGAATCCAAACAAGCTTCAATCAGTCACTATTGATTCCAAGAAAACATCATTTAGAATTCTACTAGGTAAGATTAATCAATGACCAGCACCTTAAACAATCAACTAAAGATATGTACTAATCAAGGGGAGGGGAGCACAAACAGATTGAGCATGGGACAGAGTTAGATATTAGGTCTATATCATGTTTCAGCAATATCAAACATTTCAATCACAATTATGCACAATAGATCACAGTACATGATTTTCAGAAGGGGCAATTAACATTTCATTATAGTTCCAAAGAAAACAAAGTTGAAATGTGCACCTTGTTACGTAGAAAAACACACAAAGATGAGAAATAGAGTTGACTGAAAGGAACTTAGAGATCAGCAAGCAAAGACAGTCCACAAACAGCTACGAACAGCAATTTTGAACTTAGAAAACCTTCTCAAATTTCCCAGAAATATGCAGCAAAGAAGAGAAATGAAACAGCTTTGGAAATCTTTCTTTTTTTTAGAGTTTTTGTTCTTTTTCTAACGGAGGAGTGTCTCTGAAACTATAGAGTAAAGGCTAAGAGAGAGTGAACTAAAATCAGTCCCAAAATGAAGAAAAGGATCCCTATATTTAGAGGTTTTTCCGTGTAAAAATCTGTGTGTGAGAATGAGAGGGGGTCCCTTTTTATAGAATGCAAGCATGTGCTATATGAAGGAATCACATAGCAATGAAAAAGAATCTACCAGTTCCCTAAAAATCAGGGAATTGACATCTTTTGCAACTAAAATGGACAGCTGTCCAATTCTAGAATTTCTTCCTATTCTTTTAACCCGTTAACTTTTCAAATTGACCCTTTTTGAACCCAAATATAACCTAACTTCCTCACCTTATTGCCTTATGATCCCTTATCTGTATTCTAGAGCTTTTCAGCTATTAAAAGAAAAAATTCTGCTCAATTTGATTCCCAATTTCCCCCTTAAACTTTGGTTAATGACAAATATATACGGTAAAATCGGAGGGTCCAATTTTCCTTCGTTATAACGTCTCGAAGGCTCGGAATCACAATCGAGTTTCATCCCTCGAGGACCATCAACGCTCGACCTCGGGGCAATATGGGATCTACGGTTATGGGAAGAAAATGGGTAGTTCCCAAGGCGTGAAGCTGGAACCGACAAGATTTGTCAGGCCAGTCTGAGCCCGTACCTTGGCATTAGTTAGATGTCTCATCTCCATATCTTTGTAATAAATGCACTTGTACTATGTTGGGATTCTCCCTCTTATATAAAGGGGACCCATATCATTTTGTAAACATCTGTTGCTCCATACTAAATATACAAGAATATTCTCTCTGTTCTCTAACATATTTTCTTGATCTTATCACTTCATTCACTTTATTCATTGCTCGCATTTATTGTGATTCTACTCATTATTCGTCATTTATTGCTTATTATTGGCCATAAAGAGCCTCCCTTAATCCATTTATAATTGTTATTCGCCATCGACCGCCTTCGATAGCTCCCAATCGAGCTTCAGAAATCGACCTTGAGGCCCTCGGATAGGCAAGCTCGAGGCACCAATAGACAACGATTCGGTTTGATTAACACCTCGTTCTTAAGTTCTTATTTCGTTTCTAAGTCTTTCATATAGCATCAACTGCCTAACAACTAGCATAAAAATAGATCACGTATTTTTAGAACCACTAAATCAAATTTAATTGTTATTACCATTTTCACGATAAACAGTTTGGCGCCCATCGTGGGGCTAAAAATAATAGTGATTATTTTCTTGGTGGTTTAACAACATAACGCAAGTTATCTTTCACGCTTTTTCTTGTCTAAGATCTTTGATTTCAGGTCAAAATGTCCGACTCAGTAAACAACAATCTTGAGAACCACGGAGAAAATGGCGTAGGTGTTCCAGGTGCTGGCATACCATCATGAAACCCTAAGAACGCGCCGGAACCGATCTCCGCGGACGCGGTCTCACGCGATGCTCAACACGTCGATATAAGCTCCCACACTGACAAGAGTGTGCACCAAGGAGACCAACAACAAGCCTAGAAAACCCCGGCTAGGGAGAAACGGGAGGTGAACCTTAATGTTATTTTTTAAATGTTGTAGGCACAACAGCTAGCGATTGCTCAACTGCAAAGTCACCAGAAAACTCCCAACACGGTAGCACCAGGGATGGCTCCTCGGGCCGAGCAGGTACCGAAGAGGTCAAGCAACAACGGGTCAGTAGCTGACCCCTCCATCGTAAAGATGCTCGAGGACCTCACAAAGAGGATCGAATCGGGAGATAAGAAGATAGAAGCCAGCGACAAAAAGGTCGAGACTTACAACTCTAGGGTCGACCAAATCCCGGGCGCACCTTCGATCCTAAAAAGTGTGGATTTGAAGAAGTTCATACAAAGGCTGTTCCCAGAGGAAGCGGCTTCAAAGCCCATTCCAAAAAAGTTCAGAATGTCAGACCTTCCAAAATACAACGGGACCTCAGATCCCAATGAGCACGTTACTGCTGACACTTGCGCAGTGAAGGGCAACGACATAAAGGACAACGAGGTCGAGTCTGTCTTACTAAAGAAGTTCAGGAAACACTCTCGAAGGGGGCAATGATGTGGTATCACAACCTAGCTCCCAACTCCATAGACTCATTTGCCATGCTGGCAGATTCCTTTATAAAGGCACATGCCGGTGCTATCAAAGTAGCAACAACGAAATTCGACGTCTTCAAGATTAAACAGAGGGAGAATGAGATGTTGCGAGAGTTCGTATCTCGCTTTCGAATGGAACTACCACCAGTCTCCGACGACTGGGCAGTGCAGGCCTTCACTCAAGGTCTAAATGAGCGAAGCTCGGTCGCTTCAAAGCAGTTGAAACAGTAACTGGTCAAATTGTCCCGCCGTGACCTAGTAAGACGTTCACAATCGATACCAATCGAAAATCAGGGCTGAAGGCGACCAACTAGGAGCACCCTCGGGCTTGGTATACCCAAGAAGGCTTTTGGCAAAGGATCCAAAGCCAAACAAAGAAAGGTACCATCCATACACCGATGACAGGAGAAACGCCCCGAGGTGTAACATACCCCGCAATGACCGAAGGATGGACCGAGGCCAAAACCCCTGGGGATTCGTCAACAGAGCCGGGTTCGACAGGAACACAGGGCTAGTAGAGGCACCTCGCTTGTCAGAGTATAACTTCAACGTAGATGTATTAGACTTCGTGTTCGCCATAAGTAAAATCAGAGACTCCAGGTGGCCCAGGCCTACGCGATCAGATTCTTCGCAAAGAAATCATAAATTAGTTTGTGAGTTTCACAACACACACGGACACAGGACAGAGGATTACCACCAGCTCCGAGAGGAAGTAGCCAGACTACTCAATAAAGGTCACCTACGAGAATTCCTCAGCGATCGAGCCAAATACTAGTTTCGAGAAAGAGAAGCAGCCAAGAAGAACGAAGCGAATGAGCCAAAACATGCCATCCACATGATCTTAGGAGGCATCGATGCCCCACAAGAGCCCATGATGATAAGAACAAAAATATCCATCACCAGAGAAAAGCGAACCCAGGATTACATACCCGAAGATGCCCTCACATTTAGCGACGAGGACATCGAGACCTTGTCTCAGCCCCATAACGACGCACTGATAATCTCTTTTCTTGTAAATACATTTCAGATTAAACGCGTACTTGTGGTCCAGGTAGCTCTGCCAACATTATCAGGTCGAGGGTAGTAGTGCAGCTCGGACTGCTTGACCAAATCATACCCGCCTCTCGAGTCCTCAACGGATTCAACATGGCGAGCGAAATAACAAAAGTGGAAATCACCCTTCCAGTCAACGTGGCCGGCATAATCCAAAATGCCAAATTCCATGTCATTGAGGGAGACATGAGGTACAACGCCTTGCTCGGAAGGCTGTGGATACACTGCATGAGAGCAGTACCTTCCACCCTCCATCAGATGATGAAATTCCCCACAAAAGATTGGATTAAGACCATCTACGGGGAATAGCATGCAGTGAAAGAAATGTTTGCGATACACGATGTGGCCCTGACACTAACACCTCCACCTTCGAGAGAGTCGAAGGATAAGCAAACATTAAAATGACAATAACAAACTACACTCCCGGCTATCCCAACTAAACAAAGTAGGGGACCGTACCGCGTCCTCATCATAAGCAACTAAAACGTATCAGGGCTCGAAACATCGTCGGCGCATCGTACGCTAAGGTATGACCGTTTCCTTCCTCTTTCATTTATATTCTACACCGACCCGAGTGCAGGTACCCGATCAAAACGGCTAAAACACTTTCGAAATCGAACGCCTTAGGTTTCAAAAGCATGCGTTGCACTTTTTTCCTTCGACCGGGTTTTATCCCAAAAAGGGTTTTACCAGCAAGGTTTTTAATGAGGATAACATCCATATGTTACCTAAGGAAGACTCAATAAGTATTCAAGGCTTCCTTTTGCAATCAACCTCGAATACTGGGAGGCATCCCCTCGGGAGGTCACCTATTCGGAGAAAGCCAAGACGCATCAAGAGGGGTCTCGATAGGAAGATAATGTACCAGGCCAAATGGTCAAATGAACCATGTCCATATAGAACAATTGAGCCCTCAAATAGCAAAGATATGTATACTTACACCAAGTAATCAAAGAATACTTCACTAAAGCATTTTGCGTGTCAAGAAAGATCGACATTTTTTGCAAAAAACGGCTCCAAAGCCAAAAGACGACCCGAACACTCGCGCACTGGCATCAACAACTCACAACAACACGACCCCCAGGTCAGAGCTTCGAGATTGTAAGCCCTCAATGAGGCAACAAAAGGATCACAGAACCGTTCAAAGCCGAAAGGCGACCCGAACACTCGGGGACTGGCATCAAAAACTCAAATGACCTCCGGGTCGGAAATTCCGAAATTATGAGCCCTCAATGAGGCAATACCAAGTTTACAAGTAATGGCTCCCGAGTCAAGGAACGTCGATGACTCGGGGACTGCCGTCAAGCGCCATCTCCATTGACTTATCAAAACCCGAGGCCATAAGGCTACATGCGGGCAGCCTCGATCTCGTAAGACCTATATATAAGGCAACAACAATATTTGTAAAACCTCAAGCAAGGCATGAACCATACTTGTACCAAGTATCCAAAACTGTAATACCTCAAAGGCATGAAAAACTTGTAAGACCTTACTAAAGGCATCAACCCGATCTCAAAGTTTCGACTATATATCGAACTTGTAAGACCCCTAAAAAGGCATAACCTTGATATAGATGCCGAAACTACTTCACTCGGGACTTAAAGGCTTCGACAAAATACAAATGACTCCAGTCACAAGGTTGTACCAGCCAAACAAATGCGACTCAGGACGCCTGACCGTTGCTATAAATCACAGGCCTTCAATTACTCCGAATATACTTCAAAAAGAACCGGTTAAACAGGCTACCCTCGATACAGGCAAAAGAGCTTTGACCATGTCAATTCTTACACACCCGCTTCGAGATACTCAGCCTCCGAGCCAAACCTCCCGAGGTGCTCGATCATCGCCATATAACGACTCACAATCGAGGTCTTTTATTAAGCTATCGAAGAGTCGGGAAAACACTATTTCAAAAAATCCTTATCGAGGGAAAAATAAAGCCTACATAAAAGGTTGCATCGACCCAAGGCGTAAGAGCCATTATCGCCAGCCCACATAAAAGGTCGCACCGACCCAACTCGTAATAGCCTAAGGGCCAGCTTGCAATTCAAAAACTTGAGGGTCGAATGAGCTCAAGTCGTAACCCGATTCGGAGACTAAACCCAAAACAGTTTATTAAATATGCCTAAGGGAAAATGCATAAGAGTCATTGTCGCCAGCCCACATACACTAAAGGGTCGCATCGAACAAAAGTGTAAGAGCCACTGTCGTCAGCCTAAAATTTGACAACTTGAGGGTCAAATAAGCTCGAGTCAATGCCTGACTCGGGGACTGATCCCAAAACAGTTGGCCTAAATATACATAAGAGCAAAAGCGTGTAAGAGTCTACGGGCCAACCCAATGAGCCTCAAGACCATACCATGAATCTAAGGATTCCACTCTGCTTAGAGACCATTTCATTTGGCTAAAGTCAAGGCGAAAAGAAATGCAGGAGAAACAAAGCCGCAAGGTTTCTTCTTTATATATACATACGGAAAAATACAAACTCCATTTACAACATACTTCGAAAGTACTACGTACAGAATCGGAAAGCAAAATCTACATCCCCCCTGGGGGATATGGCTCATCAGCCTCGTCTTCGCTATCCTCGGAGTCGGACAGAAGCAACTAGCACCACACTCATCCGCCCTCGCCTGCGACAACTTTTTCGAGAGGTCAAATCCCCTAGCACGGATCTCCTTGAGGGTTTTCCGTCGAGACTTACACTGAGCGTATTCTTTGCTCCTATCTTCACGGTCAAGGACCTTTCTCAATTTAGCTTGAGCATCGGCAGCGTCCTTCAAATAGACCGCCACTTTCTGGTCAGCCTTAGTTCGGCTCATTACAGTTTCAGCTCAGGCATCCACAATCTCGGCCCTTATCTTTGAGAGCTCGGTCTCGAGCTTCGCAATCGTATCTTTTTGAACCAAGCTATTGTCATGGGCTAAGCGAAGTTGAACCTCAAGGGCAAAAGCCTTAGCTAGAGCACCCTCCTTCGTCGAAGCCTGAGCATCCGCCTGAGCCTTTAACTCATCATACTTGTGCTTGGCTTGGCCAGCCTTATCTCGAAGGTGCTCCAAGCCCTCCATCTTTTTCTGCAACTGAAATAAATAAAGCATTAGTTTCTGGGGCTAGAAGGAGGAATGTCCGCTCACTCGGAACAAAAACTACCTACTCCTTCAAGTAGCTCTCATAATTCAAGCTATGACTCACCTCACACTGCAAGTATGCCAATTCGACTTCCCTTTCATCGTGAAGGCGCCTCAGGGTTTTCTCCTCATCCAGAGCTTTCCGCAGCCTGACCTCATGGCAAAGCATCTCAAACTTAAGCATATCGATGGTCTGCAAAAGAAAACTCAGTAAGGAATGGAAGGCACGGAACTCAAAAGGCCCATGCCAAAAACTCACCACATAGTGAAGTCGTTATGCTTCCTCGAAGGTCGAGTGCACATCTGCTAACCTAGCTCCCTCAGTTCCGAAAGAGTCAACCCCGGTCGAGGCACGGTCGCTCAGTGCATATGATCCTGGGTTTCGAGTATCCCTTAAATTACCTTCGATGGAAAAAGAAGGCAAAAGAGGAGGATAAGACGCCTCTTCAAAACCAGAAACCACGGGCGCGGCAGGCTCGATCAACGCTTCCGTTCCAAGCCCCCGTCACAGGTTCGCCTTGCACCGAGCGCCATCGTGCTGCAAAGGTATCTCTTGGTTATTGTTATCATTGTTTAGCCCAGGAGGTAGAGATCCTTCTCCCCCCCTCCCCAAGGGGGCGCCGCCTCACCTCGGAAGGCCCTGATGCCTACAATAACAGGGTTAGCACGGAGAAAGAGCAAATGTTTTTTAAACTAAAAGAAGGGAACAAATCGCACGGCACATACCGTGGTATTTTGCCTCCCACATATCCTTAGACAAAGCTCTCCACCTACGCTCATTGCGAGTCGAGTGGGTCGTCAACTTCCGAACCCAATCCGACAGATCGGGAACCTCGCACGGCATCCACGAAATCGCTGCAGAAAAAGAAAAAAAGGCATACTTACGGCACACCCCTTCGCCATAATTGAAGAACTGTGAAGGCACAAGTATACCACTTACGTGTATGATTCCATTCCTTAGGGAACGGCATAAACTCCACGGGGATAATATCTGCAGTTCGCACTCGGACGAATAGACTCATCCACTCCCGACCATTGTCTTCTTCATCATCGAGAATGAAAGGCGTGGCCGACCGACATCATAAGGTTATCAAACCTCGATGATGAAAGGGCCGCTATAATCTGATAAGATGGTTAAGTGAAAATTCAAGCCCTGCCTTCTCCGCAAAGAACCTCACCATCAACACTATCCGCCAAAATAACGGGTGAATCTAGGCCAAGGTAGCCCGATATTTTTGATAGAAGTCAAGCACAACCCTGTTAAGGGTGCCTAGTGTGAAGGGGTACGTGAACATATTCAGAAATTCCTCGGCACGGTCCGTAATACTCTCATCCGGGGAAGATTCCTGTAGTACCACCTTTTCCCCCCATCCACAGTCTTTCCTAACCGACTCAAGGTGTCCCTTTCCTATCTAAGAAGTAAACTCCAAGATATGCTCCTGTTGGTCCTATGCATCGGGGTACTTTTCTGGTGAAAAGTCCCCTCTTGAAGCAAAATGCTCCGAGCCAACAAGGCAAGAACGGGGGCGAAACTCTCTCCTCCTTGCCAAACGGATCCTGATATAGCATTCATAACTACAACAAAATTGGAGAACTGGACCAGGAATTTAGACCAGAGCGTCAATACTGAAATAATGAAAAGTCTAATGCAGCAAAAAAGGGTAACTTCTCAGAATGAGAGAATCTCCAAAAGGGCGGAAGCAGCTTTATATATGGAAAAAGCAGCGGAGATCCACCTTCCCTAGAGGCTGATTAAAATGCTAGCCGAAATCGCTTTGGGAAGATGTACCGGCAGGATCTCCTCGGTCACTTTACAACTGTGTCGCCAATTTGACAAGCATCGTATGACGTTTTGAGGTTGGAGACCCACGCACCAAACAAGTCCCGAGGTGGTACCCGACCTCAAGGACCTCCATCAGAAAGAAGTTAGGCTCTATGAAGCCTTTGGCATCATCACCAGTCCCGAGGTAGTACCCGACCTTGAGGACCTCCATCAAAAAGAAGTTAGGTTCCAGGAAGCCATTAGTATCATCACCAGTCCCGAGGTGGTACCCGACCCCGAGAACCTCCATCAAAAAGAAGTTAGGCTCCATGAAGCCTTTGGCATCATCACTGGTCCTGAGGTGGTACCCGACCTCGAGGACCTCCATAAAAAAAAGCTAGGTTCCAGGAAGCCTTTGACATCATCACCAGTTCCGAGATGGTATCTGATCTCGAGGACTTCAATCAAAATGAGGTTAGACTCCATGATGCCTTTTAGCATCACCACCAGACCCAAGGTGGTATCCGATATCGGGGATCTCTCCAAGAGGCCGTCGATGTCATTATAAGACTCATGATGGTACCTGGTTTCGAAGGCTCCTCTCAAGGAGAAAAACAAGTACTTAAAAACTCTATTCGTATGGGCTTGTCCTATGGATACCATCTATACCCAGGCAGTCCCTCATTCGGGACCTATCTACAACGCCTAAAGGCCATGTACACTAAGTTCAAGACAAGTTTCCGAACGTCCTGAGTTAACCCTCACTCGGGGACTGCTCTCGAAAGCCTGAAGGCAGTCTCCATTCTCGAGCTTCCGAGCGAATCCTCCCTCGAAGGTTATCGCAGGGTCTAAAGGCTAAATCTTAATTTAGGAGTTCGAAGCCTTACTCTCAGTTAGGATTTCGATCACCCGAGTTTATCAGTCCAACCCGGGCTCGATATTTGCATCGACCGATGGGGTCATGCACTTAGATTCTACACAAGCATAGATGAAGAGAAAATAGTGTGCATCAGAGACAAATTAAAGGAACATTTTTCATTCATAAACATTTGGTTACAAAAGCCCATGAGGGGTCCTTACATATGATTACAAAAGCCCGCAAGGGGTCTTTACACAGAAACAAAGAAGCAAAAGGTACACATACGGTAAAAACCTAGAGCCTAGCCTACTCTTGAGGATGCATCCTCGGTGGCAATATCTTCGAATGCCACCTCCCCGGGAGTCTCATCTCAGCCCTCCAGAATGGTATCTCTGAGGGCGAAGATGAAGAAGAGGAAAGTGGTGGAGAAGGGCAAAGTGACGCAAAAAAGGCAGAAAGGAACGAAGAAGTGGCTGAGTAAAAAATTTGGCTAGTATGGATTTTTCCAGTGCTACTATTGTAAAGAAACTTCTTGCGTTGTTGCCCCGGTGAGGGAGGCAACAGTTAGTAGATAGTACCACCTCACTCCACGTAATACAAAGGGAGTGAGGCGTCGCACCGGGTAGTCTGGGGAGGTGAGCAGCGGTGCATAGTCCGAACTCCCTTGTGAGCAGCGATGTAAAGTCCAAATATTTTCCTAAGTCGGGAGAAATCGATCCCATGTCTCCTCATCTCAGGCCAACAATAACAATAACAACAACAACAATAAGCTGGTATAGTCTCGCTTAACAGGGAAGAGCCCCAGGAAAAAACCATGGCATAACTGATCAGAACGCCACCAGATAGCCTTGAGGCCACGGGCCTCAGACATGGGAAATGACAGCGGATGAGGATGGAAAGAAGAAATTTTGAGGAAGGTTGATTGAAGAACACTTGAAAACAAATGGTTCCAGGAGGCCCCCATTTATAGGAGGGGCAGAAGCGTAACCAACAGGCACCATTATTGTCATTGAAAGACGTAATAGCAGGCGCATTTAATGCGTCCTTGGGAGCTGAACCGACGACGATATTACTACCTTAAAGAAGAAGAAACGGTAGTGCTTTGAATGACTCTGGAATGTTGAAACGACGGGACATATGGGTTGTCATAAAAGCCTATGTTACGTGTATGACGCCATCGGTATAACGCTATCGCGGGAAATTCAGAAAGATGGTTATCAAGTTCATTTTTTATCATTCTACTCTAAGAAATGCAGGGACTATCTGTATACGGTAAAATCGGAGGGTCCAATTTTCCATCGTTATAACGTCTCGAAGGCTCGAAATAACAGTCGAGTCTCACCCATCGAGGGCCATCGATGCTCGACCTCGGGGCGGTGTGGGATCGACGGTTATGGGAAGAAAATGGGGAGTTCCCAAGGCATGAAGCTGGAACCGACAAGATCTGTCAGGCCAGTCTAAGCCGTATCTTGGCATTAGTTAGATGTATCATCTCCATATCTTTGTAATAAATGCACTTGTACTATGTTTAGATTCCCCCTCTAATATAAAGGGGACCCATGTCATTTTGTAAACATTTGTTGCTTCATACTAAATATACAAGAACATTCTCTCTAATCTCTAACATATTCTCTTGATCTTATCACTTCATTTACTTCATTCAATGCTCACATTTATTGTGATTCTACTCATTATTCGTCATGTATTGCTTATTATTGGCCATAAAGAGCCACCCTTGATCCATTTATAACTGTTATTCGCCATCGACCGCCTTAGATAGCTGCCAATCGAGCTTCAAAATCGACCTCGAGGCCCTCGGATAGGCAAGCTCGAGGCCCCAATAGATAGTGATTCGGTTTGATTAACACCTCGTTCTTAAGTTCTTATTTCATTTCTAAGTCTTTCATATAGCATCAACTGCCTAACAACTAGCATAAAAATAGACCATGTATTTTTAGAATTACTAAATCAAATTTAATTGTTATTACCATTTTCACGGTAAAAAACAAATGAACCCTAACAAGAGCCATACGAATCAGAACAAAAAAAATGCAAAAACCAAACTGTTCAATCAACAACTTGGTTTGATATCTGATTAATTCAAAAAAATGATTAAACTAATTAACTTGTACTGAACTACTAACTAGACATACAAAACATGTACTAATCCTAAATCAACTTGATTAACTAAGTATTATAATCTGTTGTAAAACAAACTAAATGCAAAGCGACTTAAACATGCAATTCTTAAACAAAAATAAAAATACGAAATAATAACTGAAATCAAACAAAAGAAGAAGAGGGAAATGACTGTGAAGGAACAAATAGAAACTAAAGGGAAATAATGAGAAGAGTTATACCTGGAGGCATTACACGACTAAAAACAATTTGGAAGAGAAAAACGGGCCAACCAACCAAAACTCGAATGGATTCTGTGGCTTCGAAATGGATCGAAGCTAACATAACTTGATAGCTCTCATTAAGAGCAATCGATTAACTTGAGTTTCGAGCCAAAATACGCGGTAAATCATGAAGAATCTGAGAGTGGATAGAACTCAAGTTTTTGGAATCTTAGATCTATAATATGTTGATTTTGGTGAAGATTTCGGAGCAAATAATAAGAGGTTTAGATTGGGGAGGAGTTGGAGATTATAGGGTGAAGGTTTGGAGGTGATTGGTGGTGTTTAGTGCGCCAACGCCGGCCAGTGGGGATGAGGGATTTAGAGGCAGCTAGGGTTTGGGATAGGTGAGGGAGATGGAGAAGAATGAAGATTTGTTTTAGATTTGGGGGGCGGTTTCGGACACTCTTATGGGAGATGGGGAGGGAGTTAGTAGCCGTTGGATTAGATTAGATGAAGGGTGGGGATTAGTTGTGACCAAAACGGGGCCACTGAAGACGTTTAGCCCAAAATTGGACCAAAACAAGACCATCTCTCTTTCCCCCTTTTTTCTTTTTCTTTAATTTGACTTTAAAATCCTAATTATATTAATTAATATCCTAAACAAATTAACTAAAATCCTTAAATTAGATTCTAAATTATAAAATTAAATTAATTATCTATTTCTAACATCAACATAATTAATTAACTTAACACTAATGAAAGGGAAGTACAAATTTTAAAACTAAAAGCTAAATATGTAAAAATGATCATTATTTTTGTGATTTTTATTTAATAATGCAATTAACTCATGTAATTAAATCCTAAATGCAATTAAGATGCATGAAATATTTTAGACATTTTTGGTATTTTTATCATAATTTTAAAATGTTAAATATGCAACTAAATGCAAACAACAATTAACAAGAAATTCCTAAAATTCTATAAAAATTAAAATAATTAGAAAATCCTATTTTGTGAATTTTGTAGGAGTATTTTAATCGGGTAAAAATTATGTGCTCACATCCCTCTCAATAGTGACTAAAAATACCGCATGACACTCCAACTTTGTGAATTTCATCTCGTATTGGGTCATAGTCATGCCCTCCTGTCATAGATGCTCAAACTCCCTACGCAACTCTTTGTTGCGAGTCTGTGGGAAAAACCTCTTTAATAAGAGAACATAGAATTGATACCATGTAAGTGGTACTGCGCCAGCCGGTCTTACTGACTCATAGTCTTCCACCACCTATAGGCTAGCCATGTGAGCTGAAAAGTAGTGAAGAAATGGAAACCATGAGACCCGCTGTGCGAAGAATCCGATGACATTGATCGAGAAAACCCTGAGCATGCTTTGACAATCCTCCACTAAACTGGGGAGGATGAAGCCTCTGAAATCTATCTAACCTCTTCCGCTCCTCATTAGTCAAAGATGGTCCAGCGTCGGGCTGAGCATCAATAACGAGCCAAACCCCTGGTGTCTGATAACCCTGAGCTAGCTGCTTCGGTGTACGGGCGGCGGGAGTCTGGGCTCCTCCCCTAGTCGTAGAGGTAGCTAGTGGAACTGATATTATTCCCGCTTGAGCCAAGCTCGTGTACACACTCAAGATCTGGGCAAAAGTCTCTTGAAGACTAGGTAGAGCAACAAGTGTCGTTAGTGTCTGAGCTGGTCCTACCAACTTAACAATATCTGAAACCACTCCTTCTGTAGAGACACTGGTGACTCCGAAGGTGTTTTCCTATCTGTAGTGCGGGTCCTACCTCGCCCCCAACCTCTACCTTGGCCCCGACCTCTCACAGCCCTGCTTGGAGGTATTGTGCCTACCCATCCAATTTGGTTGAACGTGTCATCACCCTCTTTGAGAGAATAAAAGAGTAAAGGTTCAAACTTTGGAATTTAACAAATTTGCATGACAAAAATGCAAGAAAGTAATATTTTCCTAATAGTTCGGTAGCCTCACGAAGATAAGTACAGTGTCTCTGTACCAATCCACAAGACTCTACTAAACTTGCTCATGACCCATAGAACCTATAAGCCTAGGGCTCTAATTCCAACTTGTCACAATCCAAAACTACCTATCAATCGTGATGGTGCCTAACTCACTTGCCACGCAAGCCAAACATAATAATAGCGGAACAAGGTAACAGAATAACGAAAATAATACAAGTCTAAAATCAATAATATAAATAACTACGTCAATACATAAGTCCCCAGAATTGGTAATACTATCTGAATGAAAATAACAGTACTAAAAACGAAAAGAGGTGCCAAAGACTTAGGTCGAGATGCAACTCTACCTCGTCTCTCGAAGACAACCACAACAACAAAACACAGCTACTCACGGCTTGGTCCAACACCTGGATCTGCACAATTAGGTGCACAATATAGTATGAGTACAACTAATCTTATGTACTCAACAAGTATCATAACTAATCTCGGCAAGGTATTAGTGTCAAGAATTATTCATGATACTCGCTAACAATCTCCTCAGTTAATCAATTTCACAAGTACACAACAATAACATTATAATACACAACAAAGATAATGTAACATGCTCTATTCCAGTTAAAATTGAGTGTATAGAGAAGATATACAAAAAAAAAGTCGTGTATACATTACCGATCTAGCATATAGAGAAGATATGCAAATAAAACATGTATACATCAAAGAAAATTGCAAGTACAGAAGAAATGTAATAACCAAATCAAACACTAGCCAATTTTCCTCCTACCGCATGTACACCATAAAGAAAGAAATATGAGAGGGTGATCCTAGGGGGATAGATCCTTATCCACATGCTGCACGGAAAACTCACATGCCTTATATAACCCCCGCATGGACAACTGACATGCTAACACATCTCAGATATGCACAGACCACTCACGTGCTATCAACCTAGTCCATATCACACATAAAGCATATAGAGAAATACATGTACATGAATAATGGATATCAATTTACTTAATCATGGACTGATATAAGTGACATGCTAAAGAGTAGGCATGTGCGAAGTGTGCTACCACAATTCTAGTCAGGCGATTACGCCAACAAGAGTAGCAACTAATATGTTTGAATAGGAGATCAACCAACAAATAATCTCTAACATGATTCAAATAGCTCATAAAGGGAATACAACATAAGAAGTATGGTACCCCAGAATACAATAGCCTAATCACTACCCCGAACATGGATAGTACCCTGGTGCAGGCACATGGGCTCAATCCCCTCACATGTGCGTCACCCATGGGGCATAGCTAACACTAATAATTCAGGCAACTAGTGCTTCAACCAAGTTTATCTAAGATACTTACCTCAAATAAGATAAATAAATACTTTAAAAATCCCATCCCGCATGAATCAGCCTCCGGACGGCTGGAATCCAACAAAGATAATTTAATATCATCAATAGAAGCCATAGGAAATAACACCAAACAATAAAGCTAAGATCTTGATACAAATATGTGAATTCAACCCCAAACTCGCACCCCAAAACTGAACAAAACTCACAAACTCCAAACATCCATTCCAATATGAGTCCAACTATATAAGTTTTTTCCAATTCGACTCCAAATCGGGGTTCATATCGAATTTACACTTTAGATAAGTTTTTCCCAAAATTCCCAATTTCTTCACTTGGATTCATCATTCAAATGCTAAAATCAAGGACGAAATCATGAATAGTAACCAAATTAGAGTAAAAAAATACATGTCCCAATCCAAATCGTGAAAATTCCCTTAAGAATCACCCAAATCGGAGCGATACCCTCTGTGATCGCGAAGGCCAAATCCTTTTCTAGTTGCTGCCCTTTCTATGCGGACATGAGACCATCCACACAAACGCGATGTCCTCCTCTACAGAGTCTATGCGAATGCAGTTTCATGCACGCGAAAGCGATGACACAACATAAGCCATCCCCTAGCCAACCTTCCTCTACGCGAACCCGATGCACAGGTCATGAACGTGAAGGACAGTGCCCCCATGCTCCATAAATGTGACCACCCTATCGCGGACGCGAAGAGCAAACATTACCTGCCACCAAAACAGTCTCCGTGATTGCGAAGGACATCAGAAAACCACCAGTTCCAAACCAAAAGAAAATGATCTAAATCCAAACCGAAACACAGCCGAGGCTCCCGGGACCCCGTCCAATCACACCAACTAATCTCACAACATAATATGGACCTACTCGAGGCCTCAAATAACACAAAATAAATCAAAACCTCGAATCACACCTCAATTCAAACATAATGAACTAATCTAAATTCCAAATTCAAAACTTATGTCGAACATGCCTAAACAACTCAAAATGACCTTAAATTTTGCATACAAGTCCCAAATGACACAGCGGACTTATTCTAACTCTGGAAACCATAATCTGAACCTGATATTATCAAAGTCAACTCCTAGTAAAACCTACGAACCTTCCAAACCTTTAACTTTCTAACTTTCGCTAAAAAGAGCCAAACTAACCTAGGAACCTCCAAATCAAAATTTAGATATACAACTATGTCTAAAATTACCATACGAACCTATTGGAACAATAAAAATACGATTTTGGGGTCAACTACACAAAAGTGAAACTCCGGTCAACCTTCACAACCTAAGCTTTCAAGAATGGCATCAATTGTTCCAACTTCCTCCGAAAACTTTCTGAAACCTAACCAACCAAATTCGCAAGTCACGAAACATCAAGTGAACATAGAAAAGGCAATAAATAGAGGAACGGGGCTAAAATGCACAAAACGATTAGTTAAGTTGTTATATTGGTGCTGGTGTTGTTCTTCGTGAACACGGAGGGAAGCACGCGTTCGTGATGAAGTATTTTGGGATTGTAGGGTTTTGTGTTATGCTAACACGACAGGAAAGTCGCAAATGCGGAAAAGGAACTGGAGGTCGGGCATTTTTTGCTCTACGCATACGCGACTAGAGTGTTGCATTGTGAGGGGGAGGCAGCTAGGCAGGTTGCTCTTTGCAAACATAAATGGGTGACTGTGACTGTGATGAAGGGTCTTAAGGTTGGGCAGGAATTGGCCTTATGCAAACGCGATTGGCCTTACGCAAACGGCGTAGGTTTTGAGCGCAATGCTCCACAATTGCGAGGGGATTTTCGCGATCGCGATAGAGGAACTTTTGGCAGTAGAATATTTGTCCTTCGCGACCGCGAGGGTTCTTTATGCAATCATGAAGATTAATGAATAGGTAATGTATAAGATGCAAAATCGAGACTTAGCCCATTTCATCTCATTTCTCTCATTTCAAGCCGATTTTCAGGCGATTTTGAAAGGGCATTTTCATCATCTGTCATAAGGTAAGTGGTTCCAACTTATTTTGAGTCAAATACATAGAATATATATATAAATTTAACCATGGAAATTGGTAGAAATTGTGGGATTTTGAAAGA